TCCCATGGGTTCAGGCCCCCTTAAGGAGCTGGGAAAAGACTCATCAGGGTAACTAGGGATCCCAGGGCAGCTAGTTTTTCTGTTCCAGCGGCTCAGCGCGGCTGTTCAAAGGGGTAATGCATGCTGCATTTTGGCACACGCCCCACTCTGAGGAGCTGGATGAGATTTTCGCCTTAAATCGGTGATACACACGTAACAACATGTATATATATATATATATATATATATATGCCCCCATTTATATCAACAATGAAACTTTTAAAATCTTCTGTGCCATATTATGTAATAAAATTTTCCTATTGGTAAAAAAAAATATTTAAAAAAATTTGGGGGAGGTGGGGAAAGGGAATATTCAAAGGGCTTCGGGAAGAAATCCAAATATTTTTCCCTTTGAAGCCTTTTATCCACTTCTCCGAGCAAATGGGCCCCCACAATTTACACCAAGGGGGACCCCTCATATATAATATATAAAATAAAAATTATAAATAAAATAAAAATAAATATAAAAATATATTATATAAAAATATTAATACAAAAAAATAAAATAAAAAATTTTATAAATATAAAATATATATAAATATATATATATAAATATTTTATATATAAATATAAAGAAAATATAAGATATATAATATAAATATATATTATATATAAATATAATATTTTATGTATATACAGAAATACATAAATATAATATTAAATATAAAATATATTTTAACATATAATTTTAAAAATAAATAAATATATATATATATATAAAAATAAATATAATAATACATTATATATATATTAAAATATATATAAATATATATATATTAAAAAATAAATATTAAAAAATACATTATATATATATATATATAAAATATAAATTTTTATAAATATACAGTATACATAAAAATATATATATATATTAAAAAATTTTATATATATATATATATATAAAATATATATATAAATAATATATAAATAAAATATTTTAATAATATATATAATATATATATGTGTATAAAAAATATATTATATATATATATTATAAAAAAGATAATATATATATATATATATATAATATAAATAATATGTCGTGCCGAATATGTAAAACTGGTCAAAAAGCAAAACCCAAATTTTAAAAATTTAAATTTTTTTTTAAAAAAAATTTTCCTTATATTTTTTTAAAGATTATTTTTTTCTTTAAATGAAAATGAAAAAAAAATTTTTAAATTTTGGGAAAACCCAAAAGAATTTTAGAAAACTTCCCAAACCCTTTAATTATAACAAGAGCAAAATTTTTTTTTAGCAAAAACCCCAACTAAATTTTTTTAAAAAGTTTTTTTTACAGTAAGTTAATTTCAAAAAAAATACAATAAATGTAAATTTTTTTTCGTTGCTTAAAAATTTATTTTGGCAAAATTTATTGCATCCCCAAAAAATTTTTCCGTTTTGGGTTTCTATATGGCAAGATGACGTTGCTTTTAAAGGGCCAAGGCGCAAGTTCTGCCATTGGGCACACATATATATTGTTTTTGTCGTGCCAAATAGGGAGAACTTGCACCCTTGGTTTAAAAAAAACGCTCATCTTCCCCATATAGGACAATTTGAAAATTTGTGAATGCAATAATTTCGCCAAAATCTTTCTAAACCCTTTAACGAAAAAAAAAAAATTTCACTGGTTTGTTTATTTATTAAATTACTGTAAAAAAATCAAAAATATATTAGTTTTTAAAGTTAAAAAAAAATTACCTTTTTTATAAAAAGGGTTTTAGGTAAGTTTTCAATTTCCCTTTTTTCGTGCAAAATTAAAAATTTTTACATCAACTTTAATGAAAAAAATAAATCTTTAAACGGGGAAAGAGAAAAATTTTTGAAAAACTTAATTTTAAATAAGTTCTTGTTTAAATTTGGGCCCGTTTTTTCATATTTGGGCCCCGACATAAATGATATACTATATAAATAAATATATATAAAATATATAAAAATATATAAATATAAATATATAAATATATAAATATATATATATATATGTTTTGGCAAAAATGTAAAACGGCAAATTTGGGAAGAACTCATTTTAAAAAAAAATCCCTCCGAAAAATTTTTTCCCTTTTACTTTTAAAGAAACATTTTTTTCATTAACGTTGAAGAAAAAATTATAATTTTGCACCAAATAATCTTAGAAAACTTCCCTAACCTTATCATAACAAGAACAATTTATTTTAGCCTAACCCAACTAAATATATTTTAGATTGTTTACAATAATTTAATACTAAACACAGTGAAATATATTTTCATCATTAGGTTCAGAATGATTTTGGTGAAATTATTGCGTACACAAATTTTCACTTGTCCTATATGGCAAGATGAGCGTTGCTATTTAAGCCAAGATCGCAAGTTCTGCCTATTCGGCACGACATATATATATATATAACATATATATATATATATATATATATATATATATATATATATATATATATATATATATATATATAAATACATATATATATAT